GAGATGGCTCAGTGGTCTAAAGCACCTTCTTAGAACAAGCTAAACTAAGCTAAGCAAAGCACAGGGATAGCGGTTCAATCCCCCAGCACCACATGCCAGCCACCCGCACCCCCTGGTGGGCTGAACTGGCCACACACACACACACAAAATAAATAAATAAATAAATATTTTTTAAAAACCTTAAAAAAAATAAATAATTTAAAAAGAAACTACGATCTTTGTGCCTCAGTTTCTCACAGTACTCAGATTACAGGTGTGCTCCATCACGCTGACTCAAGTAGTAACCATAGGGGTTAAATCAACTTCTGACAGTTTTAAACAGTACAACCATTCTGAAGGGTGATCTGTTAATATCTGCAATAAATGTAAATGGACACACCATACCTTTTGTGTAGTGGTTCTACTTCTGGAAATCATTGACATAGTACTAGATAAGTGTACAAAATTATATTGCTGGGGCTGGAGAGATGGCTCAGTGGTCTAAAGCACCTACTTGAAACAAGCTTGGCAAAGCACAGGGACCGCGGTTCGATCCCCCAGCACCACATGCCAGCCAGCCCCGCCCCCTGGTGGGCTGAGCTGGCCACACACACACACAATAAATAAATGTAATAAATAAAAATAAATAAATATTTAAAAAAAATTATATTGCTTTTTTTTTTTTTTATTAAACGGGGTCTCTCTATGTAGCACAAGTTGACCTCAAACTTGTGGGATCCTCCTGCCTTAGCCTCTTGAGCTGCTATTGCTTGGCTGCTTCATTGTTAAGAATAAAGAAGAGTTAGGAATTTCCTAACTGAAAGCTGACAGAAGACAAGTCAAATTGTGAAAATTCTATACAGTGGAACAGCACAAGGCTATCCTCATATGTATGTCCAAGGAAAAATACTCAAGTTGCATGACTGTGTAAAGTGCAATGAATTATACAACATCATATATGTCATAAACCTACTTTTACTTTAAAAAATGTACAGAACTCTGGGAAGCTCAGGCAAAGATGATCACAAGTTCCAGCCTGGCCTGGGGAACTCAATAACTTAACAATCTCTCTTTCAAATAAAATAAAATGAAAAAATAAATGAGTAGGGGTTGGGATGCAGTTTAATATATTCCCAGTACTAGGGAAAAAAAAAAAAAAAGCAAGAACTGAGGGATGGCAGGAAGGGAGTATAAGTGAGAAATAGAATGTATGTGCATGTGTGTGTGTACTTCTTCAGAAAAAAAATCAGTAAGAATATATGGGGGGGGCGGAGATGGCTCAGCAGAATAAGCACTTGCCTGGCAAGCACAAGGACCTGAGTTCAATTCCTGGTTCCGCAAAAAAAAAAAAAAAAAAAAAAGAATATATTGCAAATGATTAATGGATTTCTGAGATTATGTGAGTCTTTTTATTTTATTTTTAAAAATCTTTTATTTGTTTGTTTGGTACAGGGTCTGGCTATGTAGCTTGAATTCATAGTGATCCTCCTGTCTCAGCCTCCCCAGTGCTGGGATTACAGGCATGCACTACCACACTCAGTTTTGGTGGCTGGTACAGTATGTGGTACAGGGGCTCAAACCAGGTTCTTGCACTTGCCAGGCAGGCACTTAGACCATTGAGCTATCTCCCTAGCCCTGGTCTTTTCATTTTCTATGTTAAAAGCATCTACAGAACACTGGGGATGTAGATGAGCAGCAGAGTGCTTGCTAAACATGGATTTGATTCCTAACTTTATTTTTATTTTTTGTATTTTTAGGGAAGGGTCAACAGGGTGTTCAGGGTCTCACTACTGGATTGGACTCATAGTGATCTGCCTATTTTCAGCCTCCCAAGAGCTGGGATTACAAGCGTGTGTGTGTCACCACACCCAGTCTCAACTGCCATCTCAGCACGCTCTGGGGGCGGGGCCAGCAGACACGGGAACTGAAACCCTGGCCCCTGTGCCTACTTGTAGGCACTTTAATCTGCTGCGCTATTTGGCTGGCCTTGATTCCAGCTTTGGCAAACACAACAAAACCTTCTGTAGAATTTACTGTTTTTGAAAAACATGTGCCACTCTAATTAAAAATTAGATATAATTGAAACAAGTGTGATGAGACTCCAACTAGTGCCACCTTAAGCATGCAGAACAGAAAGGGAGGAGTGTCCAGTTCTGAAGCTTCCCAGGGACCAGGGCTGGCTCAGCTTCAGGAAGTTAGTTCATGAACCAGGATTGAGAAATGACTGAAAATTCCTGGGCCGTTAGAAACCTGTCCTGGGTAGTCAAATCAGACACTTTGCCAAACTTCAATGTTAGGCCAGAAAGGAGCAGTCTTGGCCTCTCCCCAGAAATTCTTTCTCCATCCTTACCAATCCGGGTTCTGCTGAGACTGAAGGAATTAACCAGACCTGAGGCTAACATACATGACCCATGTACATGCGGACATCCCAGACATACAGGTTTGTTTCATGCACTCACACAGAGACATGCAAACATGCAGGTGCTTGCCAGAACACAGACTTGGGAGCCACAAGAGACTACACAAACCCTGACATTTACAGAGAAAGAAAAGGAACGAGAGAGAGAGAGAGAGAGAGAGAGAGAGAGAGAGAGAGAGAGAGAACAAACACAAGGAGACAAAACATTCATTCCTTGCATGTTCCTTTGGGATATACACTTAGATCTGAGTCCCAGCCTGATGTCCACATCAGTGGGAGATTGGGTAAATTATGTCATCTTCTACAAAAGAGGGCTATCTCAGGGCAATGTCATATAATGTGAGAGGACACTGTCACTGCCTGCCTGGGAGTCTTTCCAGATATGGAGGCCAGACAACCCAGCCATACTAAAAGGCAGAGGCAGTGAGGGGTGAAGTGAAGGTACTCACGGATAGCAGAGGAACAGGAGGTTCAGGAAGGAGTAGGTCCTGAAGAGGTGGATGAGGGATCGGCACAGACTCCAGCCTGTTGCCGTGAGAACGGTGAAGCGGGTGAGGAACAGCAGGATGGAGCGAAAGAGGGAGACCTTCCCCCTTTGAGAAGCCTGGGTCAGGGCGAGATAGGATGGGATGGGGCTTTGGATGGAGGCCACAGGGACTGTGCCCAAATTCCACCCATCACAGCCTGTGATCCTCCCAGGGAAAGGTATGCAGCAGGCTGGGTAGAACCTGGCAAGGTAAACCTTTCTCTTTGATGCCCAGTAAACTCTGAGAGCCAATGGATTGTGATTAATATTCTTCAAACAAGTCCAAAGGGATCCCCAAAAATATACCTCAGGGTTGAAAGGAATGGTATGTCTCTTTGGCACCCCCAGGGGAAAAGGGAGTCCCCAAATCCCTGGCCAGCCTCTGACCCAATCACCTCCTTCACGATGGACCCAATGAAGCGGCGGCCCAGAACAATGGTGGTCACCATCAGCAAGTTGAAGTCGATCAGATGGAAATTCTGTCAAGGGGCAGAGGCCTGGGGTCACATGGGTCTTTTGCCCATAAATACAGTTTTCTCATGCCTACCACCTCCCTCTGCCCAGTCCTTTCCATAGAGACTGTCCCCATTCTCTGACCTTCATTGGCCTCCAGGTGACTCAGGCAAGGAAATTACCTAGAGGAGTAGAACAGGACCCAGAGAAGAGAAGTGGGACAGTCCCTGAGGATAAGAGAGTGGTGTGTGAGCACTCCAGCTCTCAACACTCATGCCCCTGTCCTTATATCTCTTCTGCACAAGGCTTTTTCTACTCTGAAACGTTCATATTGGTCTGTGATTTGTCTCCCCCACAGTACTTATGATTCTGAGCATCTAGGCAAAATTGTCAGATTCATCTACAATAGCCTTACAATGCCCAGTGTAATCCTAAACACACTAGGAATATGCAAGAATCATCAGTTTCCTGCTCCATTGACAACCCCATCCCCCACAGGGAGTCAAGTGCACAGTGATGCTTGGTAGACTATGCTAAACTAAAGCCAGGGGATGGGGGAGATGGCTCAGTGGAATAAGCGCTTCCCTGGCAAGTGCAAGGACCTGAGTTCAATCCCTGGTTCCATCCAAAATAAATAAATACATAAAGCCAAATGTCACACACACACACACACACACACACACACACACCCCTAGCCCTCGCTGGGCACCTACCAAGGAGGTGTGGGAGGGTGGGTGGGAGGGTGGATACCACCACACTGTCTTGTAGATGTTGATGTAGTGGACGAAGAGGGCTATGAGTTGGCAGAAGAAGAGCTGCAACTCAAACAGAATGCTGGCCTGGACAGGCAGTTCAGGGATCTTGCAGTGCTGCAGAGGCACAACTGTCTGGGTGGCCAGTGGAGGGCTGGCAAGGCCTGTCCCAGAACTGCTCCTGGGGACGGGAAGGGAATAACAAAGGAGAAATGAGTGGAGAACCTTACCAGGAAGAGCTTCTGGGGCATAGGATTACAAGGTAAGATCAGAAAAACAGTTCATAACAAGCCCGAGGTCCTTCTAATCTTGTCTGGCAGAAAAGCCAATGGTCTTTCCTAGTCCTTAATTTTATTAACGTTTTCTGATGTCCCCCAGGAGGAATTATTAGGTCCAATTTATAGATGAGGAAAAGGAGGCCCAGGGAGAAAGGGCAATATGTCCAAATCGCCAGCAAATCAGGAACAAAAATGAGGAGAAAACAATCACGGACTTTGGGCTTATTCTACCATTTCTCCCACTGCATCTGTCCAAGTGACCACCTCAATTGAGCTCCCTCTGTATCTTTTATACTGTTCTCCCCCTTTTATCTCTCCACCCAGCATCTAGGGTGTCGTATCTCAAAACACAGTAAAGATAGCCTTGTCCACAAGGCCACAGTGAGGGGTGAGAGACAGAAAGGTAGTTTACCTGGTGCGGGAACGGACACTGGTCACTGATGCACTGGAAGCGTGGCCCCCACCAGAGCCTCCTGAAGATCCTGGCTCACAGAGTGGGTTTCGACAGTAAGATGTCCTATTGGGACCTCTTCGTCCTCCTGTGGGACTCAACACATAGCAGATGCTCAAGCCAGAGGGCATATATGAAGGAAAAAAAGATGACACATGCCTGTAATTCCAGCACCCTGAAGGCTGAGACATGAAGAGTTTGAGGCCAGTCTGGCAAGTTGGAATTTGAGGCCACACAACAAGTTCCAAGCAGGGCCTCGGCTACATACCAAGACCCTTCTCACAAACCAAAACCAAACCAAACCAAAAAAGTGAAACAAAACAAAAAGGGCACCAGCAATGATACTAGCTAATAGTTACCTAATATCTCACTTATCATTTAATACTAATGGGGCTTATGGTCTGGACCTGCCTATCTCACTTCTTCAACCTCACTCCCATGCTGTGGATATTTTGGCCTTTCTCTTCTCTGCCTCTAAGATTCTTGTTACCTCTTGCACTTACTATATACTCTGTCAGAAGAGACTTTCCCTGAATGCCATTTTTGAAGTAAGTCCTTCATTATTTTCCATCCTATTTCTTCCCCTTCTCACACAATTTATTTTCTGAAATGCTGTTATTTGTTTGTTAAAATGTTTACTGACTCATTAAGATGAAAGGTCAGGTTAGCAACCTGATATATTTTTCACTGCTGTTTCCCCTAAACCTATCACAATGCGCAGCAAGTACATGTTAATGAGTTAATGAGCCCAGAAAGGCACGTTTTTCAGATTAGGAAGCTGCGTTTGCACTGTGTCACAGACAGTACCTGGGTGTGAGTCCTGAGCTCTCAACTCTGGTATACCCTGGGCCCCATCTGGACAAGTTCCTGGAGGCTTAAATTTTGGGGCACCTTTGAGGTCACTTTTTCCTCCAAGACCCTGAGGCTCAATCCTGGTATCTCACGGGCAAGACCTAAGGCCTGATTTTTAAAAAATTAATTTTATTGAGAAACAAGGCCTGATTTAAAAGTCAAAGACGCCAGCTCTGAAAGAATTCTAGCAGTCTAGCCGGAGATTTCAAACACAGTATCCTAAGTGTTTAGGATACAAAATACCTAAGAACCTGAACCTGTTTGCACTCCAAATGGCAACACAGCAGCCTCTACTCACAAATATAAAAACAAACAAACAAACAAAAAAAAAACAAAAAAAACCCCCAAAACAACAGCAAGGAGATAGATCCTTTGCAAATGGGAAGGGGACCAAGAAAGAGATGGAGGGGGAGGGGATGGCAGGGGGAGGAAAGCTACTAGGTAAAAAGAATTATGACATGTCATGTACATGTCCCCCCAACTCCCCACGATGAATGTAATCATGTACTGCAAACATATTAATAAAAATAAACATACCAGGCCTTAGCCTCTTAACTCAGGTGGTTACACCACAAATCTCTAAGAAAAAGACTGTTCTGAAGCGCTGCTCTCAACAAGACCCCCAGACCAGCAGCTTTGTTCACACACCATCACATTTGTTTGGAAAACCCCACACAAACACCTTCGGCCAAGCTCTGCCCACACCCACTCTGCCATCTTTAGAAGCTCGGCCCCCACACAGACCTCAAACCATAAGCCCCTCCTACACACAACTGTCAGCGCAGAAACCCCGCCTACAAGCCAGTAAAAGCTTTCTCAGCCCAGAAGCCCCGCTGTGGAAAGGTCTCCCTTGGTTTGAAAAGGCTCCCTCGAGCCCCACCGCCTGCAGAATAAGCTCTTCCAACCCAAAAAGTTCGCCTCCGCAAAGCTTCCACAGCCCAGAAGCTCCGCCCTCGGCGCGGAGACACGCCCACTCTTGAGTCCCGCCTCCTTTTCCAGCCCGGACGAGCAGGTCCTCCACAAAGGCCAAGCCCCTACAAGTCCTCTCAATGAGCAGGCCCCGCCCACCACTCCAATGTCCCGCCCCCACAAGAGGCCCCACCTCGCCAAACGACAGGAGGGGGCGGTGTCCCGTCTGCACCCGCATCCCCTCCCCCGTCCCTCACCGGGACCCAGTCCGCCTGGGGCAGCAATTAGTAGCTTGGCCACCCTGGCCCCGGCGCCCGCTCATTCCCTGGACTAGGTCTGACCCACTCTGCTCACCCATCTCCTCCCCCCGGCGCTCTCCGTTTCGTCGCCGCAGCTCCTGCGGGCAATATGTCGGAGGCTACGGCGGCCGGGAGAGGACTACCCGCCGCAGCCCAGTCTCCGGCTATCAGCCGCGCGCTCCCGCCTCGCTGCTAAATTTGCATACAAGGCGGGCTGGAGCCCGGGAGCGCGCTTCTTAAAGGGGCCGCCGTGACTAGGTGGCATAGAAGCGCTCTTTGTCTCGCGGTCTCCCACGCCCTTCTTGGAGCTGGTGCAAAGTAGACCTGAGAGAGATGAGAACTCATCTGTTCGTTCTGTACGCGCTGCTTTAGGCTCGAGGCTTTGCTCTTGTGGGAGATACGTGGTTTGTATTTACGAGCAGCTCATGGGCGTCCATAACTGGGCTTCGTTGCACTTTGTATCACCCCAAAATCTGTCACTTCCCTCTTTCCAATGGATAGTACACACCCAATCTTTGACCGGCTGATCCTAACATCTACGTATTTCTCCCATCTTAACCTCATTTTGCTTGTTGATTCTTACAGCCCCATCTTATTTCAGATACTGGCTCTGCTTTTTTTTTTTTTGGAGACAGGGTCTTGCTATGTAGTGCAGGCTGGCCTTAAACTCCCTAATGTAGCCCAGGCTGCTGTGGAATTCACAGCTATCCTGCATCAGCCTCCCCAGTGCTGGGATTATAAATGGGCACTACCACGCCCCCAGCTCTTCGTCTTTTCAATAAAGTTAGTAATATTCACTTTCTAGGTTTTGGTTGAGGGTTAAATGAAAGAACACTTTTTTTTTTTTTTTTCGTTCCGGAACCAGGGATTGAACTCAGGCCTTTACACTTGCCAGGCAAGCACTTTACTGAGCTATCTCCCTGGCCCCTAAAGGACACTCATTGAACAGCCAGGGTTTTATTGTTTTTATTGTAGTAGAGACTCATCCCAGGGTCATGGGATAGGCACTTGCCTGGCAAGCGCAAGGGCCTGAGTTCAATCCCCGGTTCCACAAAAAAAAAAAAAAAAAAAAGTCCCTTTAATGGACTTTGATGTTATAGAAAAGCCAGTTTAAGTTTGAGGTCTGGAAACTACAACTGAAATAATCTAGAACAATATACACTTTTACCTCAGTATTTACCAGAGACATCTAGGGATTTGGTCCTTTCACAGGGGCCTCCTGTAGGCTCCGTAGAGGACACAAGCATGATGGCAGGATATTGGTTAGGTTTATCCTCTAAATCTGTAAGCATACATCCCAGCTGCTTGGTGACCCTGAAGTTCTCACTTCTCCTCTCTGAACCTTCACTTCCTAACTAACTGGATTCTGTTTTGGCTCTTCCAGGAGTCCTGAGTTTGTAAGGAAATGCCATTGGCTGTAGGTCAGTCCTATGTTGCTGGGAGCTAGGAATTGAGATCTTTTCTTTGGTTATGTTTTGCTGGCTCCAAGGCCCAAAATATACAAGTTTGTGCTCCAGATCAGCTTTCAGTGTAGGTAAACAGAGATGTTGAAACCACAGGATAAAACACAATACAACCATCTGGGTATGGTGGCCATGCCTGTGATCCCAGCACTCAGGCTGAGGCAAGAGGATTGCTTAAGTTTGAGGCCGGCCTTGGTTATAAAGTGAGTTCAAGGCCACCCTGAACTGCATAGTGAAACCTATCTCAAAACAACAACAAAAACCAATACAGCCTTCTGAAGTGTCAGTTTTATTTAATAAAAATCAGAGACAGTATTTTCACTTTAAAATTTATTGTGTGTGGGGGGATCGTGACATATGCCTGTAATTCTAGCACTTGGGAGGCTGAGGCAGGAGAATCACAGTAAGCTTGAGGCCAGCCCGGCCACATAGTGAATTCAAGGCCAGCCTGAACTACATAGCAAGGCCTTGTCAATAAATAAATGAGTAAATAAATATATATACACACAAATAAATGCAGCTACTATAAGTGTCTTTAAGGCAAGACTAACATGGAAGCAAATCCCAGCTTTATCATTACTGGCTGCAGGAGCTTAGGAAGTTACTTAACCTCTCTGTACCTCAGTTTTCCTCAGTATAAAGTTAGGACAGTATAAGATGTAATCAAGGGGGGCTGGTGAGATGGCTCAGTGGTCTAAAGCACCTACTTAGAACAAGCTTAGCAAAGCACAGGGAC